CAGGGATAGGCGCCTAGCAGCAGTGATGCAGACCGGGGCTAGGCGGTGTGCTACAGCAGAATAGTGGATCCGGCGGAGCCGGATCTCGGTAGCTGCTCCGGCAAAGCCGGAGATCTCGGCCGGGCTCTAGCCCGTGACACTTATAGATTAAAATAAGCTCTTACAGCTATAACTAATTTATATTACTAGAACTAATACTTTAAGTAAGGTTTTTAATAAGGATAGCTATATATTTTTAAATTTTATTTAGCTTATTTAAAATAAACTAAATATATTAATAGTTACTTATAAAAAGTAAGTTTATTATTAGCCTCTAGCTTATAGATGTTATTAATAGTATTCTAGCTAGCTTAAATAGTATTATAAAGCTCTTTAGGAACTTAAAAATGTTAGTTAGTTCTTAATAAAAAGTAAGAGAAGGTAAAATAAAAACCTACTATAGTATATTTAATCTTTCACTACTTATAAATAATATAAATAGTAATATAATCCCTATAGATATATAATATTCCTATAATATCAAAGCTAATAAAAGAGAGGCAGCTAATAAGGAATATCCTTTATTAGTCAAACCTTCATATTCTCTAAAGAAGTACTAATTGTTATATTAAAAGTTAAAAACAACCTTAGCTATTTAGATAATATAAGATATCATAATAAGCTATTAGTAAAAGGATAGTATAAAAAGATATAAAAGTTAACAGAATTATAAACTTAATAATATTTAGAAAACGGCTAGTAACCTTTAAAAAGGACTAGCTAAAGCAAATAATAAGAAATAAAAAAAGAATAAAAAATAAGAAATAAAAAAAGAAATAATAAGTTAATAAGCAAAAATATATAAAATTATTAATAAAATATTATATACAAAATAAGAAATAATAAATAAAAATAAAGCTAAAAGAGTATAAAATTATTAAAAAAGTATCCTAAAAAAAGAAAATCTTAAAGCCTTAAAATATAAGTAAAGAATCTTATTATTATTAACTACTTTAGGTATATATTAGTAAATAAGTAGAAGACTACTACTTAAAGAGGGAAGTATAATAATAAAATAATAATAAGCTAATTAATATAAAGAATTATTTAAGATTTAATAATAAAAGAAACTATTTTTAGTTTATAAACTTATAGAATAATATAAATAACCTAAATTAATTAAATAGTATAAAAAACTATATATCTATAAGTATGAGGTTATAGATATACTAATAAAGTAATTTAGATATAAAAGGTATAATTAAAAGTTAGCTCTAATTAAGTAGAAGAAACTATAAAAAAGACCTACTTAAGGAATAATTATATATATATACTTTAAGGACTAAAGCTTTAGAGAGGGGGGTAATTATAAGAATTACTAAATAAAGTTATTAGTAAGCACTTAGTAAAACCTCAGCTAATCAAGACCCTAAGTTTAATAGTAAAATCTCTACTTCCTAGGAACTTAGAGGAAGTAAGCTATAGTTAATATACTAAATTAACCCTTATTATAACTTCTAAGTCTTTCCTAGTAAAGGCTCCTAGCCTATAATCTCATAATTTAATAAACTTTTAGACCTAATAGTAAGTTAATATAAAGCTAAAAGAGCTTTATATTAGTAGCTATATTATTAGAGATAACTCTTATAACAAGCTAAAGTGTTACTAACTTTCTTTTACGTTACTCCTGAATATTACACTATTAAGGTATTAATATAAAGTTATATATAGTACTCCTTATTACTTTATAGCTTATAGTATAAGCTAACTAGCTTATACTACTATAATAATAGACGTAAGGTTCTTAGAAGTATAAAAAAGTATAAAAAACATATTAGTATTTTTAAAAGATTTTTTTAATAGTAGTAGTTTAAAAAAGTAGGGTTAACTGGGATATTATATATTATGTAGTATGTAAGTTAACGCGTCGAGTTGCGTATCCGTTATGGGGTGGTTTCATTACTGGGGTGGGGTTCTTACTATCCGACACGAGCAAACACAATGCTCGTTGACGTTCCTCAAGAGACGTGGTGCACTGAAAGTCGCCCTGGGGCAAGAAACTTTTGTTTGATTTGGATGGACACAAGACTTCTATGCCTTATGTGAAGCTATTTTACTGCTTGCCCAACTCGTCGGCACGATCCGTCGCAGCCTTGACGGCGCCCTCCACAATCTCCTTCAAGCCGGCCTTCTCAAAGCTCAGAAGAGCGGCATGCGTCGTGCCGTTGGGGCTAGTTACGTTCTTGCGCAGCTGCGCAGGCTCATCGGAGGACTCGACAAGCATCTTGCCCGCACCAAAGCAGGTCTGCTTCGCCAGGCGGGTGGCCTGCTCCTCGGAGAGCCCGAGCTTCGTGGCGCCGGTGATGAGGTGCTCGACGAAGGCGAAGAAGTAGGCGGGGCCGGAACCTGGTCAAAATTAGCAATGTCCCGTGTCACATAATTGAGGGCACAACATACCAGACAGTCCAGTGACAACATCCAGGAGCTCCTCCTTATCAACCCACTCCGTCGCCTTGCTCACACTGCCCAGCAGCGCCGTGGTCAACGCCTTCTCATCCTCCGTCACATCCTGGCTGGCATAGATACCCGAGGCGCCCTCTCCAACAAGCGCGGGCGTGTTGGGCATGACGCGGACAATGTGAGGCGCGCTGCCACCGCTCTGCTTGAACCACTCGGCGATGCTCTCGACCTTGTTGCCGGCAGTGATGGAGATGACGAGGGGCAGCTTGGCCGCGCCCTTCCAGCCGGCGCCGAGTTCCTCGCATACCGTCTTGCACACCTGCGGCTTGACGGCCAGGATGACGATGTCGGCGTCCTTGGAGGCCTCGAGGTTGGAGGTGGTCGTGCGCACGCCCTGCGCGGCCATCTTCTCGCGGTTGACCTCCCACGGCTCGGACACGAAGATGTTCTGCTTGGGGATGTCCTTGGCGAGGAGGCCGCCGATGATGGCGGCGGCCATGTTGCCGCCGCCGATGAAGGTGACCTTGGCTTGCTGGAGGCTGGGAGTCATGTTTGGGGTCGGGTTTGGTGGGATGTGGAGGGTGGTGGGTTGATGTGAGGTGAGGTTGGAACGTGGGGTTAAATCAATTCAGATCGAGAGAGTTGGAGACCCGATAACGGTCCCGCAGATCGGGATGCCCCTCCGACGATGAGTCAGCCTGTCAAAAAAGCCACTTCCGGTAATTCGCGGATGCGGATTGGTCAATGGGGAAATGGGGCTGGAGACTTTGAAAACTGCCCCCTCCACTTTTCTGAGTTGAACATCTCCCGAAGACTCTGCAACTGCAACTCTATGCACGACGTAGAGTATGCATAGATGAGTATACAATGCAGTTCTGAGGTTTAACTCGTGGAATGTACATGCGATGCGATCTCAGAGTTGGCTAAAATTACGGCAGCACAGGTTACATCGAGGGGGGTTTCTTTTTACTTTTTCACATCATTCACATCACGCTCTCTCAACCACACCAGCAGTTGCAATCCTCGTGCGCTTTCCGTAAAGCCACAGAGGAACTGTGAGAAGAGCAAAGATACCCATCAGCATGCCAAAGACTCCAAATGGCTCTGCGGCGCCCCTATCTTCGACCCAGTGCGACACGAAAAACGTCCATGCGAAAGCGATGATGGCGCGCATGATAGTGACAATAACGAAACAGTCTCCTGAGAGGCGGCCGTAGGAGTCGATCAACTGTTTTCAAATGTTTAGTATGGTTGTGGCAGGGCGACAAAGTGAGTTTGAGGTTTTGACTTACGTAGTTAAAGCCGATCGAAGGGACTTGCATGAGACCAAATGCAACCATGGCGTATCCGAAGCATAACCCAACCCAGCCGTTCTTAGAAGGATACTGGGCCACGAACCCGAAAGTGAAGAAGCCGCCCGTTGCAATGACTAGAGCGGGGAACATGGTCGGCAATCTGCTTTCGGGCTCCGCCAGTCCACCCTGCGTCTTGACGGTCTTCTTCAATCGAGAGTCGGACAGGAGATACGTGTACAATGCACCGAAGAGCGTGCCAAGAATACCACCAACGTTGATGAGCCCGACATTCGCGCCCCACAGGTACGGGGGCTGGGCCATAATCTGAGGTCCGATGGTCGAGATGGTAACGATGCCGCCAACCAGTCCTGCGTAGTGGAACATGACCACCCACGTGCCGGGGAGCGCGAGAGTCTTCCATGGCGCGATGAAGTTCCGAAGGACTCCGCCGCGGTAGTGCGTAAAGCCGAGGGATCTGGCGAACGTGTACGGTTTGTATTGTGTAACTTGGCTTCGGGCGTCTTCGACGTGGCTGTCCATGCCTTTCTCGTCGATGACGGGCATCATGCCGGGGTCGGTCGGGGAGACAACGCGATCGTACAGCGTTTCGGGGATGAAGAAGAAGACTCCAATGATGCATGCTGCGGAGATGGCGGCGCCGACCCAGAAGATGTAGGTCCAGCCAAGTTGGAATCCGATGTATCCTCCTGCGATGCCGCCAAGGAGAGGACCACCTGCTAGGAAGACAGTGTAGATGGCCTTTGCAACGACATATTGTTAGTTTTGCATCAAACAGACATATTGTTAGTTTTGCATCAAACAGACACTTCGTATTCTTTGGGTGTTTCAAACATACCATTGCTCGACCGCGCTCATCAACGAAAAAAACCTCCCCAATCAATGCTGGGGCGACGGTCTCAGAGGCACCGCCACCAATAGCCTGGAAGACTCTCGCAGCGAGAACAGAGTTATATGAAGTCGCAACAGCACACCAGATAGTGCACACAGTCATAATGACGGTCGAGGCAAGCAGGACCGGTCTTCTTCCGATGATGTTGGACAATGGAACCCACCAGATGTTCGACGCGCCGAGAAACAAGGTGCTAATCTACAATGTGGAGCTCATGTTAGTTGATCGTACGTTCTGCCGTCGCCGTCAAGATTGTGGATCAACATACGGCGATGAAGTAAGTCAAGTCGCTAAACGGTCGGTGGTCTGTGGGGAACTCTTTGAACCAGAGTTGAAGCGCAGGAGCGATGCTGGCACTGGTGAAGTTTCCGGCGAACGAGTAGAGGCCGACGGTCAGCAGAAGCCCAAACTTGCGCCATGTTGGCCAGTTGAGAGGGTCGGCCGGGTCTTCTGATGGTTGGGGGAATCGGATGAGTGAGGCTGATGATCTTCGGGACCCGCCTGAGGATTCACTTTCGTCTTCAAATTGTGCAAGTTAGTTGGTTGCAGGGCCAAAAGACTTTGATTTAAGAAAGGGTGTGATTATTAGATGCCGACTTTCGATGAAAGCTCATGACCAGCCAGTTTCACGATGTCGACAGCACAAAAATGACTCACACATCAACTTCGCCGTCCCAGGCGGCGTCGCCTCCAACACCTCATACTTGCTCAACGAAAAGGCATACTTCCAGCCCGACATGGCGTCGCTGTTTGTCGAATTCGATGTCAATGTTGTTTGTAGTTCAGTGTTTGATGATTTTTCGAGATGACAAGTTCAAGCTGTTGACCCGTCATGGCCTGATCTCGAAACTCTGGCTCCTGAGTCGTCCCTTTTTAATCAGATACCCTCGTCCTTCTGCAAGAACAAGTCGCTAGTCTGGAGCGAGAAATTGTCGTACTCGCACTACCCCGGGTTCCCCAGGAGATCCACATTAGTCGCATCCATGCAACCTTAATCCAGTGGCTGCCGGAGTGGGGGACGAGGGGCTTCCGGTGGTGGGGGATCCTGGCCCCGGCACATCGCGACGGGAACGCTGAGCGTCTGAGGGTGATTTAGAGCTTGTAAGTTACCATTTTGATATTCTTGTAATCTTGATTGATATGCAGTGAGCAAAGAGGGCGAAAATTTGGCGATTTCTGGGCGATATTTGCTTGTAACTACATCACCGCCCACCGGCTCATTCCATCCGCATCACACGAAACATCCTGGCGGATACCAGCACATGCTCCCCGACTACACCGGAGACATGGACCCTTGACACAGTGGAGAGGCCAAGAGAACTATTGATATTCGCGCATCTGCCAGCAGCGCACATGGCCAATGGCAAGCCTGTCAGTCCAGATGACGTCGGGCTAATTATCTAGGGCCGGCCCCGCTTGCTCACCGGCCAAAGGTGGGGTTCCGATATATTCCTGGCCTCCTTCCACATTTCTGCCAAACACAACCGAACATCGTGTAGATCAGCCTGATTTCAAGGTAGCAGTCGTTTCAGAGGCGGAGGGTTGGGACGCAGCATACCCGCGCAGCGTGGGACAGGCATGGCAGGGACCGGTTGCCGCGCGGGATGTCCAAGTCATTCGCCCGCAGCGTTCATGGTTCAGTGGACGATCGCTATCAGTGATTGGAGTCGCATCTCCGAATCGTGGACATGCGGATGTGGAATGTATTCTGTGATCAGTGATCAAAATGCAAACATCAAAGCATCATCACGCGGGGACTCAGCTCGGCATCAGAGTTCAAGATTACTGAGCTACCCCGGATTTGCCGGACCGACGGGATGAAATGAAAGATGCGGGGAGAGTTTGCAGCTGGGAGCGAGGCTAACGCTTAAGCAGACTCGGAGTACCCGCCAGCGCAGCTGATAAGCAAGATCACGAAAACCTCAACAGCATGCCAAGATCACGAATCACGACACGTCAACGCCGACCGCAGCCGTGCGTTATCACGCATCTTGGTCCCATCGCGCTACACATCACAGCCTCAACGTCCCAGTATCGCTGCTCCCCAAGCCTGCAAGTTGAATCTTAGATTCGTCGCTAATCTCCTGTCGAAGATCCTGCCATGGCAGAGACCATCACGTCTTCCCCCACCGTTCCGGCAACTGGTTGTAAAGGGGCCGGGGTTCGACTGTGCGGGCCTGCTTAGGTCCTAAGGCATCCAGCAGGATTGGCGTCTGAGGGCGTGTCCTGCTGTCACGAATGAACTAGGTGGCGGCCCCACGGGGACTTGGCCACCTTCTATTCGAAGAAGTGGCGGGGCCGGGGGAGTAGATATCCATACATATGACAGTGGCGGGCCGTCGGATTAGAACTGCCGAAGACATGGTGACGATGTCACCTGCCGGATGCAGGGAAAGAAATGCTGTTTGGCTTTAGGGGAGCCAAGAATCTGAGAAGTGAATAAGTATCAACGGGGTCCTCTGTTTTCTTAATTGCATTGCCGTGACCTGCCAGGCGCGTGCTATCATGTGGAGCCTTGGCGCAAGATAGCCTCAAGATGTACACATTGTTGTGGGCTCTTACAAGCCTTCGGACTGGGCTAGCAACCCGACCCATTTCGGCTACAATTCTGTTGTTGCACGGGGAATATCACAACGCCGAAAAGCTCGGGGCGTTTCTTCCTGAACTAGAAACAATTGTGAGCACGCAAGGCGCATCAACAAACGCTATCCGCATTATCTTTCTCTTGCGTTTGGCTTCAATCACAACTTTACGGTCTCTAGCTCTCAGTCTTTCTTATTGAGCCAGTGGATACTTGTGCAGGTGCCGAGATGGACGCGAGTTGATATGCATAATCTCGCCGACTTATGAGCCTGTCAAGGCAATGACTGGTTGTGATTGGCGCCTACGACGCCGGCCCACCACTAAGAATATGCCTCAGTTTCATTTGTGAAAAGGCCAAGAGAGATGCCCGATCAAACATCAAAGTAACGCGTGATTCTGTTGGGATCTCTCATCAGACTTTCTCGGTTTAATTGATAGAGAAAAATACACAGTCGCCGGATGAAGTACGGGGTTTTCGTGGCTATCATCAATGGTCACGTCAATCACTTTGTGCACGCCTCCCGGAAAGTCACACTCTTGCACAATAATCAACAAGCCCTTCAGAATGCCGCTCGGAAGGGCAAGAACAACGCCGAAGAGACTTCTACACCTCACTTCGAAGTTCACGAGTCAATTATCTTCCACCAGAAAAAAGCTTGCATCAACCTGCAAGCACAGCCTACAAACAGTGAGCCCCTGACAACCTCTCAGCGGAATCCCACCGCTATTGTACTACTCGGCGAAACAGAGACCACCAGTGTCTGTGGCGACGAGAGCCCACTTTCCGGGCTAAGAATAGCGTCCCAGTGAGGCCGGAAGACATCCTCGCCCTGCGGCGTCTCCAGCCAAAGCACGCTCTTGACGTGAAGAAACACGTCATCCCAGCTGCTCAGCTCCAGAGAGGCGGCCACAACCCAAGCCCTTTCCACGAACGAGTCATAAAGGGGTGTGCCGGCCGCCGAGACCATTCCTATCGCTTGAAACCAGACATCGAGAGAATTGTATACCCGCGGTAGTGAGTCAAGTCGTCTGAGCTGCTCTGTGAACCGCGTGACGGTAGCGTTTAGTATTACTGCGTGTGAGTAGTAGGTTGGTCCATGGACATTAAACATGAAAAGTATGGTGGCGTAGCGTATGCATTCGGTGAGTGGCGATGATGCAGGGTCGCTTGAATCTGGTGCTTCAAGTAAGAGGCGGTGTATTACGAAACATGTGAGATCGTGAAGTCGTGTTGTTGGAAATGGAATCCGCCTCGCCCGTTGAAAGACATTTCGTAGCCGGATGAAGACATTTAGTACTGCACAGTCAACTTGCTGATCGGCGAAGTTGAAGAGGTCGTCGTCGTGAGTGGTTGGTGCTTGTTGCCACTCAGGGATCGGTGGTATGCCATGTCCAACGCCGTCGTCATCCTGTGTTTCGAACTGGGGATGACCTTTCACAATCATCGATACCCTTTCACAGACATAAGCACCATGGCGCTGGAAGAGTTTGAAGTTGACTTACCAGCTCACCATTCGTGCGGTAAGTGGGCTGGTCTGCCTCACGGAGTTGATACCGCCCCGCATGTTGACTAGTCGGGCTACACCGTCAACATGCATTTCGCTCACTTGAATTTTTCCCTTGCCGAACTGCATGACATCAGTAAACAATGCGCCTTACGAACGAGATTTCTTGATGAGAACAAGCCCGGGCAGAAGGAGCTCACTTCAATTGCTGCCAACGTGATGACAGAATTCATTGTTCCATCTTGCACGGCTAAAGATGTGTCCTCAACCTTGCGACGGAGCAATGCGACCGAGTCAGCCATGAGAATTTCGGATGCTTGGAACCCTTTTTGGGCCAACATCTCTTCGTCGAGACATGCTGTTTGTAATGAGACGTGAAATAGTGCAGGATCGCCCAGTGCCAGCGGCCACCAAGACACGAGAAACGGATTTGAGGTTGCGTTCAGGTCGAGCGGGTAATACTGAAACGCGATCTTGTGGAGAACTGAATTGGTAAGCCGGCCATCCAGTCCCTGACCAACCAACACCTCAATGAGTTGAGCCGCTACGTACAGCTATGAATCAATCGTTGAACGTGTTCTTTAGGGAGTCGCGTCTGCGGATATGAGTCGAAGGGATCAAGCGACCCGATCCTGTAGCTGGTCAAAGCGCCGGATCCATGGTGATGCCTCGCGGCTCCGGTAGCATCCGGCCCCGGAGCAGCCGGAGGCGGCGGCGGCGGCGGTGCGGTCAGGGGTTCGTTGGCGTAGACGCACAGGATCTTGCGCTTGACGCAGCGCGAGCAGCGCGGTGTGCGGAGATCGCAGCTGTGTTTTGATTTGGCGCACGTATCACAGGATCGGCGGAGAGTTTGGCGCATCGTTGGGAAGGGGGGAAGGCACGAGAGATTGAACAGACTGATGTTAAGGCATTCTCATTGTCAGAGTGAGCAAAGGAGGAAGAGTGCTGGTGGAGATGGGCTGAGGAGCGAGCCAGAATACGTACGGGTCCCCATCAAGCCCTTTTCCGAATGGGGACTAGACTCCGCTGGGAGTGTCGGGTCTCTGGAACGTCTGCACGACTTTCGGAGACTAAGCCTGATGCGGTAATCTGGGCTGCTCAGGTACGATCTGGTGGGAATTGAAGGATTGAGAATCCGCAGGTCCAAGCGTCATTAAGGGACGGCTAGATGATGATTGGAGTAGGGGGATAAGACGGGGATAATTGGGATGTTGACGCACTCCGATTGGCCGTCATAGAGTCTCTGGATATTGAATGAGTAATAATTTTGCAATGTCAAGAAAGAAATGATCGTATCATCAAGCCCAAAATGGCAAGGAACAGAAATGAAATTGAGCCGTGTGATGCGTCCAAGGCTTCTCGGTGTTTATCAGTCCTGACCAGGCAAGGACCACTGCTCAATGGCTTGATCGTACGAATTGGCGGATGCCAGCTTCCGCTACCGAGCTGGAGGGTCATCTGATGTTTGTATAAGACAAAGACGATTGCCGTAGTCTTTCTGTCTGCAAATACACAAGCTTATCAATTCGAAAATTGCACACGCACTCGTTATGGCTGCTGAGGTTTTGAGAAGCTCGGCGTCTCAGCCAGAGCATAATCAAACATGGCACCCGAGTACATCACAGTTGCAAACTTCCCTCCCTGGCTTTCTTGCTGGATGGTCAACCTGGCAATATGTCGTGACTATCCTTTTAGGTGCAGTAGTCTATGACCAAGGTATGTAATGTGCTCATTCGAATGCCGTTCGACGTTAGTTGACATGTTGCAGTCATGTATCTGAAGAGAAAAGGCCCCATTGCCGGACCAGCTTTCAAGATCCCAATTATGGGCCCCTTCCTCCAGGCCATCCATCCCAAGTTTGACGAGTATCTCGCCCAATGGGCAAGCGGGCCCTTGAGCTGTGTCTCTGTTTTCCACAAGTATGATTTGAACTTCATCCTTCACCCACATGCTAAGATGTCTGCCTACAGATTCGTCGTTCTTGCATCCGATCGCGACATTGCCCACAAGGTCTTCAAGTCCCCTAAGTACGTCGAGCCATGCCTAGTGCCTGTTGCCAAAGATATCATTGGTCACAAAGCGTGGGTTTTCCTCCAAGGCAAAGACCACGCAGAGTATCGAAGAGGACTGGCTCCGCTGTTCACCAACAAGGCCATGGCGACATATCTCCCTATCCAAGAAAAGGTGCTAGCCGACTACTTTGAGAAGTTTGTTGCAGACAGCACGGCAATTGGAGGTCGCCCCAGGGAATTCATGACCCTTTTCCGCGAGATCAACTGCGCGCTTTCGTGTCGTACCTTCTTCGGCGACTACATTTCCCAAGACGCCGTCAAGAAGATTGCCGACGACTTCTACCTCGCGACTGCTGCACTCGAACTGGTCAACATCCCTCTCTCGATGTATATCCCCTTCTCCAAGGTCTGGCGCGGTAAGCGCGTCGCTGATGCCGTTCACGTCGAATTCGCCAAGTGCGCGGCGGCTTGCAAAGCCAACATGGCGATGGGAGCAGAGCCCAAGTGCGTCGTCGACCATTGGGTGCTGCACATGATGGAGTCTGAGCGATACCGCGAGAGGCTCGCTGCTGGTGAGACCAACGTTGAGAAGCCGCCCAACGTCATTCGCGAGTTCACCAATGAAGAGATTGGCGAGACGCTCTTCACTTTCCTCTTTGCGTCCCAGGATGCATCGAGCAGTGCGACGACGTGGCTGTTCCAGATTCTCGCCCAACGTCCCGAAGTACTCAATCGTCTGCGGGAGGAGAACCTGGCTGCACGGAATGGCGACAGGACCAAGCCTTTCGACCTTCCTATGTTGGAGTCGCTGACATATACCAATGCGGTCATTAAGGAACTTCTCCGTCACAGGCCACCAGTCATCTTCGTTCCTTACCTTGCGACCCAGGACTTCCCCGTCACGCCGAACTACACTGTCCCAAAGGGTGCCATGATCATCCCGTCATGCTACCCAGCCCTGCATGATCCAGAGGTTTACCCCAGACCGGACCACTTTGACCCCGACCGATGGATCACTGGAGACGCAGAGTCCAAAACCAAGAACTGGCTTGTTTTTGGCTCCGGAGCTCACGATTGCCTTGCGCGAAGATATGTCCTGCTCTCCATGGCAGGCATGATTGGCAAGGCTGCACTGGAACTGGACTGGGAGCATCATGCTACGGAGAGATCGGAGGAGATTAGGGTGTTCGCGACACTGTTCCCAATGGTAAGCACCAACCAGAATGCACCATGATACTTGCCTGACTATTCCACTTACTAACAAACGAGCAGGACGGGTGTCCTTTGGTCTTCCGAAGACGGCCATGAAAGAAGTGCTTGCGATGCTGGGCTTGCTATCAGAATAATAATAATCAAATTCGCTGCTCAGAAGGCAGAGGTGCAAATGAAAAAGGTTGCATGATGCAGTCATTCCGGGATATATAGATAGATAATATTGTCAATTCTCAAGTTTCGTTGAATCAAAACGTTTCATACTGGATCAATCTCGCCGTTCTCTGCACCTTAGTTTGGCACCTACAACCATCCATAGCCCACAACCATAACTCACAATCTCCAACGAGCCTACAGACTGCTGGGATTGTAAAAATTACCACAACAACTCTGAGCGCCTTTGGCACCATGCCAAAAGATGAAACTGGCCCAATCTTCTGCAAGTCGATCTTCTTCTACGCTTGGCAGTGGTGGCTCTTTCCAGTATCAAAATGAATACTTCTTGCCGATCCTGTATGTGTAGGTGACGGTCCCAGCCGAAGCCCATACCGCAGCTAGCATATTGTTTGACTGCCCACCTGCGTGTCCGCCTGTGAGCCGCGGGCATATTAGTCAAAGTTTCCAATAGATATTCTGTGGTTACTCACATTCTGACGTTTGAAGGAGTTTATACGCCTGAGCACGGCCCTCGCTCTCTGCGTTTGACGATCCGTTCTTCCTCAGCATGACCTGATAGTCAAAGTATGCACCCAGGTTTGGCGGCGGAGTCCTCTTGTCCACGTCTCTATTGCCCTGCCTATCCAGAGTCAACTCAAATCCATCAGGACCTTTGTCGGCCTCTTTGCAGAAGTTCTGAGCGACGACTCGAAAGACATTCCAGGGCAGGACAGAAACAGATGTTGCATTGCAGTCATACTGCCAGACCCCTATCCTTTTGACTGGGGGGATGTCTACAAGGCTGGCACTTGCAACAAAGACAAGAGAAGAAATGAAAGAGATGATTGAGAGTGACTTCATTGTGAGGATAGGGTCTTAAGCTCCGTGGCGTGCTAAAGTGTGGTGGCTCTCGATTAATTCTTATTTTCAGAATGGTGTCGATTTATGCTTCTGAAAACAGTTTATAGCCTCCAAAACAAGCAGACGCGGATGGGCGTCTACATGAGCAAAGTTCTATTTACTGATAGCCGCATGGGGAGCTGATGTCTACTGCACCCCAATCTGCAACTTCAGCTGGCCCAACATAGCCTGAGGTATCTCCTAGTTATTGACGGATCTGCATGTGACTTGGGGCGGTTCCACTCTTTAATCCGAATAAGAGGCAGGTGCCAAGTTCCATTTGGTTGAGATCGAGTTGGTGCGTGGCAGATCAGATCTGCTTGGCGTCCCCGTTGGTCCCGTTGGACGGTGCAAGAACACGCGCCATTGCAACTACGCCTGCGCTGGCCCTTCGACCCCAACGACGCCCCCGGCCCCATTGTTACGTGATCGAAGAAACGACAATCTTGCTCCAACCGCAGACCACATGTATTCTCGAAGATTTCTATTTTATCTTCTAATGTTGGTGATTGCCGGTCAGCTCGTTTCTCAGCACAGGCGGGGTTATTCCCTGATCGCTCCGGTTGAGCAAACCACAGACGGATAAACTGGGAATAGACAGTCAAAAGCCTCGGTCTTAGCTGTTCCTTGTACTGAAATCAAAAGAGCCCTAATCGCGCGGTGCTCGTAGACTGCGTGGTCGCGCAAATGTTGGGCTTTGATAAAAACTGTCGTAAGATAGCTTATACATGCGAAAGCATGAGTACGACAAGGACTATTTTCATCGTTCAACGTTAATTGATGTCATAATTGTAGACTGGCCTCCAGGATGCGAAAGATGGGTGAGCAGCGGCTCAGTTACCTCCTGCGTCTGGCAGCGGTACCTCTGATCTCACCACTCAAAGCCCATGACCAATCAGCAATGGAAACAGGCTTAAAAGACCTTGCAGGTGATGTTCGAGTTCAGATTGGGCGGCTGCATGTGAGGGCCTGCATTAGCAGATGTTGTTCCACTGCTAGCGTGGGTAGCCTGATGCCGACTGGCTCAAATGCAGCCCATCAGCCAATGTCGATCCTGAGGTACATTTTTCCCCAATTCAAAAGTTGGATCTTGAGATGGAATATTTGTGCTAAGCTCATACTTCTCTGCCTCAAACACGCGTGGTTTCCATCAGCTGATAACTTCACAGCAGCGGGTACCACAGAGATCAACATGGATTCACGACTCCCACCAACCGCTTCACACACATCGGAACATCATGGTGACGGACGGGAGGACCGGTCGCTTCCATACTACATGCTTGGGCTTCCAGGATTTGCGTCTTGACTTGGAATTCCAATGGTCGTTAACAACGTAGTTGGACCACCCGGCTTTTCTTCCTCAGTCCCGATACCCAACAACATGAAGCGTTCTCTAACATCAAGACTGAGTCACGGCATGGAAGCACCCTTCAACCTGACGCATGTGGAGACCGATTCCATTTCCATAGTCTCTCAAACACAATGGGAGTCTAGGAAAGAGGTCATCCGCGCACTCTACTTGACCCAAAACCTGCCACTAAAGCAAATCAAGGTCATTATGGCTCGCACTTACTCTTTCTGTGCCACGTAAGTTGCTGACAGCTACCTTGGTGAAGGAATCACTTACAGAGAGGTCGATTAAGTGAACGAATGTACAAGAGACAGTTCGTGAAGTGGCGCTGGAAGAAATACAACACGAAAATATCCCAGGATCAGCAAGCTGTGGAAAGACCCCCAGGATTTCAAACATGTCGCAGGCCGCCCCGACGAGACGTCAAACTATGTCCTACGACTGAATGTCTGTGCTCACAGTGCTTGGAACGGAGATCATGCTTGTCCTTCCTCTCACTGAACCACGCCAGCACAGAAAACCAAGTACAATATGATTTGTTTGTCAGTTTACGCGATCTCATTTTGGGAACTGCAAGTCGCGACCCTAGCTGGTCCGAACGAAGGAAGCTTTCGTCACACGAAACAGCCGGCGACCGCTTATTTAATCTTTTCAGAATGGCGGATAGCCTCTACATGTCCGGGGACTCTGCACGGGCAGGGGCAACATTCCGACAATGTTTCTGCATGCTTGAAGAGGTCATTCGAGACGAGCCCATAAATTTCTATCAGGCCTTATCCTTCAACATTCCCTTTCGCCTTCCAACAGAGGAACTTCTCAAGGTCTACCTGTACCATCTTCACCAACTATTCAACCTCAAAAGACATGGGGAACCTATCGCTCGTATGGCCGCAGCGACCCATCTTTGAGCTACAGAAGCTGCATGCCACCTCCTACCGAGCATATATCGAATGAACGATATTACTGCTGATTACTACCGAAAGATTCGTGGCGAGACAGGCATGGAAAGCCTCGAAGCAAGAATGGACGCCCTCATATTGAGCGAAGGGGAAGACAAGTCACAGGAATGCAATCATATCATCGAATGTTTTCGTGAGCTATTGAACGATACTATCAGCCAGTTTGGAACATGTTCGGTAGAAGCGATCTTTGTGGAACACTGGCAAATTGATGCGGCCACTAGCCTCGATGCGCCATTTGACGACATCGTCAGGCTCTGCGAGGATCATATATCTCGACTCATTGCAAGTAATGACGATCGTCGGCTATGTGACTGGAGTCTACTTTCGTTGGATCGCTATGAAAGCGTCCAATACAACCTTTACAAGGTCTTTGTCGAGTCAGGAGACATGCAACGTGGTATATTGCATCTGAAAGACTCCATTTTGGCAGCAGAATACGCAGTGTCAAGGGCAGTTGACCATGATTGGAAAACCAGCACCGCTTGCCAGCTGCTACAGAATCAACTGGAGCTTGTTGACTGCTTGTCTGTTATGGGGCAAGTCGATGAAGCTGATGGGATTAAAGCGATGATCGCCGCGTCTGAGTATTTGGAAGAGGTTGTACAAAATGACCTGGGGGAGAACTTCGCTGAACTTTTAGCTTGCTAGCGACTTGTGCTAGGTCATCAGGCTATCGTATCATTACTCTTCATTGAATTCATCCAAACCATCTTAAGATCGCAGGGAGCAATTGCAAGTCACAGTGTCTGGCTGTCCTTCGTTTGATGCCTGTTGAGCCAGAAGACACGTCAGAGTTGAAGGAGAATGTCAATTTCTTGGGTCATAGTCCATCCAAGCATCCGATCTGAAGGCATTAGATCCGTGGTCCATTCTCGATGCAACCACATAACTCAAGACTTTTTCCCATGGAAGCACAGACGACGAGAGGAGTACAAAAGCAAACTCAGATAGTCAAGTGGCTTACTCGACGAATAGTAAAAAGCCGACAGCAACGGATTGCTGCACTAAACCTGGAAATAGACGTGTTGAAGATTGCACGGGGAAGATTTTGCGGCTAATCAATCACATTCTTAGAGCATCTTCGGTGCTATGGAGATTACTCTCATCAATTGAATGGGACACCACACCAATAGAGCCCCGCAGATGTAGTCAACTGCTAATGGCGGCCGCTGCATGCGACCCAGTTGCCTTAAACGCATGATATTCCAGCGAACTCTGGCTGCAAACCGAGAAACTTTCAGCACTTTCTCCTGGATGACGTGGAACAGTTGGTCAAGAGTCTATAGGAAAGTGGGTGCTCAGGGAGCAACTGCGTTGTGGTGTGTGCAGTCTGAATCGTTGGACCGCTTCACTTCGGGCGCCTAGTCCTTGCTGCCTAGACGCCTTAATCTGAATTTGCCAATAAAAGTGTTGATTGACGCCAAGAAGGAAGAGAGGTCTCACTGGTTCAAATAAAAGGACCTGGAGCACATTTCCTGCAGCTGACATGTTAGGCAGGTAGGTTGGGTGTCAGGGCGAAGCATCCCCGGCTTGCGCCCGCACTGAACATATTGCACCTCAAATTCCTTATGCGGCCGAACGCCTACTTCTGCTGGCGTGACTAGGGGCAGACAGATGCCGCCAACAGCCTCACTCAGCTGCTCCCCACGAAAA